TTCCTCAAGGACATGAGAGCCTCCAAATTTTTCCTAGTTGGCTGTTCTACGTGTATGATCCCTGAAAACTCACCAGCAAACTGTCTCCAGTGCCAAAGGCCCAACAGTATTGTCTGCACAGTAGGAGAGACAGATAGTGAAAGATCCGGGAGTTGAAGAAGCACATTGCACCAAAGGGGCCCTCATATTCTGGGGCCTCCAGCCGCCTGCCCTCCGAGTCCAGCCCTGGATTCCATCCAGCCCTGACCTGGCCTACTTTCTGCCCCTCCCCGGGCTGCATAGTGAGGACACAGCTGTAGAATTGACTGCCCAGATATTTATGAGTTTATGAATAATGCTCCTTCCACACAGGACCTGCCAGGTTCCAAGACCCCAGCCCCTTTCCCCCACTCCCACCTCCACTCATGTCCACGTGGATTAAACTACCTCCCCTTACACCTTTGTCATGCTCATCCGTCCCTCTGTCCTCTTGCTCTATGCTCCCACTCTGGGTGACCTCACCCCAGGGCACTCTGAAGACAGTGTTGTGTCCTAAAACAGACTTTATTTACCGAGATGAACAGAAAGAAGCTCAATGGTGGTGCGGTGGTCAGCATCCAGTTCCTGGGACAGCCCAGCTCGTGAAGTTTCTCCTCCCGTCTCCCCACCTCAGCTCGCCCCCTGTGTCCCATGCCTTCACCCCTGCTCTTCCCTCCACCTCCTTCTCAAGACTCCCCCACCCCTCTGAAGGGAGCAGTCCAGCACCCTCTCGTTTTCCCGGCCTCTGGCTCAGGCTGCCGTCAGGCCTGGGTGTGTGCTCTGTATGGGAGCGGGTGCCCCGAATTGCCACCAAGAGCTCTTTCAAGTCATTTTCTAACTGAGTGTCTTCTCCTGGTTGCTCGCGCTGCGTTCCTACTTTGCAGCTGGTTTCTGTTTAAACTGCGGGCTTGGCCTTGCTGGCCTTGGGGTTCGCTCCTCATGTCACTTTGCCCTATTCTGAGGGGGAGGGGGAGGGGGAGCCTGCAGCCTCTGCAGGGACTTTGGGAAAGGGGCAGGAGAGCCAGGCCAGTGAGAGGGGAGAGGGAGGGTTAATGATAGGCCTGGGCTTGGAAGCTTAGAGGTGACACTAACAGGAATTGTGAGGTGTGGCCCCAACTCACGGAGTGAGAACTTGTTCCACAGGTACACTGCCCGAGGGGAACCTGAGGGAAGAGGTGTCCACGGTGGGGCGTCCTCTGAGCTGGTGGACAGTATGGAATCTCATGGGAGGAGAAGGGACAGTGGCCCCAGAGCTGATCCTTGAGGTGGGTGATCTCACCTCTCAGGTTAGGCACTGATGGTGAATGGGCCCCCAAAACAGCATCTGGAGGGAGGTCTTCTTAAAGTGGGTCTTCAGGTAATCTCCACGCCCAGGAGCCCTGGGATCATGGTTTACCTCTACCCGCATCGAGCCTACTGGTCCCTTTCTCCCCAGCCTGTGGCCACAGCAGGTGGGCTGACCTCTGGAGCTGAATGAGCAGGAACTGAGAGAGGACCCCAGCCAGGCACCTAGAGAGACTTAGAAATTGGGCCCACCAACCTTAATGCTGCAGAGAGTCCCACCTGCCTGGCTTTCTCCCTTCCCCTCACCAACCCCCCAATGCTGCTGCTTCTCCCACCCTGCACCCATTTTGGACTAGGCCCACTGGGACATGAATGCAAGATAAGTGCCCGTGCCAGATTAGGGGCTCCGTGTTAGAGTGGGGAGTCTGTGCACTTGGGAGCCCATTGTGGATGGCCAAGCTGCTGTCTTGCTCTTAGAAATACATTAATCAAACAAGATCCCCCTTCCCTGAAAAGGACATGGTGTTGGAGGGAGGGGAAGTCACAGAGGACTCCTAGGCTGTTGGAGGGTGCGCCAATCCACACGAGCACTTGGAGGGGCATGTGGTGAATTCATACAGTGGAATAATACTCAGCAATAGAAAGGACGGTGCCAATGCATGCACAACATAGGTGAATGTCCTAGGTAATATATTGGGTACAAGAGTCCAGACACAAAAGAGCCCATGCCACATGATCCATCTCTGAAATTCAGGAGCAGTCAGAGGTGATTGATGATACTAGAAGCCAATGGGCAGAGGGTGTGGTAGTTGACGAGGCCAGGACACAAAGGAACCTTCTGGGTGCCGGAAATACTCTCTGGCTTGATGTGGGTGGTGATTACAAGGGTGAACGTGTATGTAAATAAATCATCAAGCTGTACACTTAGATGAGTGTACTCTGTGTATGTTATTCCGCAAAAGGAAAGTTAAAGGGGAAAAAAAAATGCTTATAAAAGGGCTTCTGAGATTCTAATTAGTTCCTTTAAACCCTACTGTAGCTTTTTCAGCAAAAATGAGGGAGGCCCACATGGCCTACGTTTTCTTTAGACTCCCAGAGGATTCTAATTTATGGGCGGAGAAGCCCAGGGCAAAAGCCTCTCACAGCTGCACGCGGAGCCAGGCGAGCCAGCCGGGCCCCACAGGGTAGGTGGCACAGGCCCCCTCCTCAGACAGCCAGAGGTGGGCACCTCCCATAGGGCAGCCTGAGTGACCACTCCTCCCCAGCGACAGCCAGCCTGAACCTCTCCGGTTCCTGGAACCTGCCCTACCCGACTGCCTTTCCAGCACTTAAGGCCGGGAGCTATGCCGTTCCTCCACTCCAGGAAAATATTTGTTCAGGGACTTGGCACCCGCAGAAGAGGAAATCAAAGCCACCTTGGAGTGTAGCAGCGGCCCGGCTGCTGGCTGCTTTGTCTGCCCCTCCAGTCTCCCTCAGCTCGGGCTGGTGTCGGAGGCCAGGCCCAGGAGTGCCACCCCTTGGACAGGCCCGCAGTAGGGATAAGCCTGAGGTGCCGGCTCTTTGTTAGTTCTCAGTCATCTGCCAGTTCGGCCAACAGATATTTATGAAGCTTACTACGTGCCAGGCTCAGTGCTGGGCTCTGCACAGTGATCCTGGTCTGTCCTTAATATTCCAGGCTATTGAAGGGGAGTGAGGGCTGCTGGCCAGTGGACAGGTCATGACAGCCGAGTAGGGATGTTGGCACAGAGGAGGTGAGGCTGGGGTGCCAGGGATCCAGCTAGCAGGACAACACGGCTCCCGGGGACAAGCACTGGGTGGGCATCTGAAATCAAGCTGAAGGACCAGAAGGTCAAGTTAAGAGGCAGTCCGGGAGCAGGGGAGGTGATCTAGGTGGATGGAACCCCCAAGGGGTTCTGCAGCGTGGAAAGCTGATGTTGGCAGAGCCAGGAGTCCAGAGAGAGGAAATTGGAGGAAGCAGCCCTGGGACTGGCACCTCCCGGGGTGTCCTGGTGGGAGAGTGGAGTTTATCCCCAGTGCAGTGAAGGCGTTGAAACCCATCGAATTTGATTCTTTTTCATGTAGAAGAGTATAAAGAAGAAAACCAAATATGTCTCAAGTCCCACCACCCGGATATTTCCTGATGACATTTAAAGCATTAAAATACTCTGCACATAATTAGAAATCTAAGCAGAACAGGAAAGGATAAGATGAAAGTGAGCTCCTCCCCGCATGTCTCTCGGGCCAAAGGCAACTTCATCTAACAGGTTTTTAGTGCACATTTCCAGAAAGTTGCCCCATCTGTGTACCTGAGAATAAAAACTCCCATCTAGAGGACGATCGTCTATACCTGGAGTTGCAGATCCTTCTTCTGACCTGGTTTCATCTTGGCCCATGCAGACGGTTCTGCCCCACTCTTGTAGGGGCTGCAGATGGACCATACGTGACCCAGCACTTTCTCCTTGGAGACCCCCTCATTTCCAGGCTTTTGCTCCTGGTGACAGTGCTGGATCAGCTCCTGGGTCCTCGCCTGGCTACCTTTTCTAGCTGCAGGTCCTGGGTGGAAGGAAAAAGTGTTCTTCCAATCGTCCTCCCAAAGCTTCACCAATTCCCCATCCCTGCCCAATATCCAGTCTGAGAGACCACCCTTTACCTGTCTCCACATTTTACCAAATGCTTCCTTTTTCTTTTTTCCTCTGGTTTGAGGAATGGAGATAGTATTACGTAGTTTTTATTTTCATTTATTTAATAGAAAATTAACTTAGGAATATTTTCTTGGTTTTGCCATTTTTCTTTCTTTTTTTTAGTAGGGGAACTGCTTTTTCGTATTTGGGGGCCTGTTTTTCTAGGCTTTTTCCCTTTTCCTTATGAATGGCTGTGTGTTCCTTGTATGCTAATGGTCTTGAGGGGTTGGCCGTCAGGCTTTGGTCTTTGGCCCATCCTGCTAGCTGCAGTGCTAGGGAGTGTGGGGGCTGCTCAGTTGGGAGGTTCAGAGGGGTCCCTGTGACAGGTGCTATGGCCTGGAGCCACACATGGAGTCAGTGGATATTCAAGGAGAAGGACCGACAAGATTGGCCCGCGGATTGATTTTTGCACAACAGCCCAGAGCACTTCGGGTCCAGTGAACGAACACATCACAAACCGCCCTCCCCTGGCTAGGGCAGGTGAGCGACAAGCTTCAACACAAGATTCCTGTTGACCCCTGCCTGGTGATTTGTGCCACTCCCTCCTTCCCCAGTTGGGAGGGACACGAGATGGGGTGGTGTGACAAGGAAGAGGATGATTCCCAGGTCCCCACTTCATATATTATGGTCCATAAGCCATGGAAACATCTCAGAAATTCCAGGATTTCAGCACATAGTAACTAACGAACCCACATTGATCAGTGTTAGGCTGAAGCCATCCAGAGTCCCTAAGAACAGGGACAGTGGTACACTGGCCTGGGCACGGTGTTGGGAGGGTGAGGAGGGCCCTGCACCCCCTGAGTGATGGCAGAGGATGGCTTCTGGTTCCAGCCTCCCTCTCTGGGTAGAGCACAGGTCCCGTCCCATAGGAAGCACTTAGGAAATACCCACTGGGTGAAGTTCTTTAATCATTCAAATTTAGGCTAAGGTCAAAATGAGTGAGAAAAAGAGAAGAGGAAAAATGTTTTTTTTTTCTTTTTTAAAAAAAAATTAAAATGTGTTTGACATACCTTTGTCCTTGTTGATATATCATTTATTTACAAATACACACCATCATTTTATCACCTCCAAAATCTTCCCTGTGCCCTTGGTCATCAACCCCTCCCCCATCGCCAGAGCTCTCTGTCCCCACAGTCTCTCCTTTTCCAGGTGTCCTGTGAATGGAACCCCTGGAGCCTTTTGAGTTTGGATCCTTTGCTTAGGAGATGGCATCTGAGCTCATCTAAGCTGTGAACATCAGGAGTTGGTTCCCTGATGTCATTCTTAGTGTTCTGTGGTATGGATGTGGTGACTTTATTTGTAATCACTCAGAGGACGGCCTTACTTCTAGATTCCTGAACCAAAACACTCCCTTTGTTCAAGTGCAAATCCTGATTTGGAATCCAAAAGGCAGGGTGAGAAGAGCAGGAGGGAATAGGCTCCATTATGGAGGGACACCAGGTGTGGTGCAGGACGGGGCTCCTGGCCAGGATAGCATGCTGGTCAGAGGAAGACCCTGGAGTTGGGTACTTGGGTGTCAGATCCTGGTTCTACCATTTATCAGCTATGTGATCTCCCAAGGCGTCATGGGATGGTGACTGGTCTCCTAGACTCTGAGGAGTTTATGGTTGGACAGCAAGGACAGCAGGGTCAAAAATGATGGACCTTGTTGTTGAACCTGTGACAGCACGAGGACTGGGAGCGGTCAGGAGCCCAGCACGGTCATCCACTTTCTAGGGCTCTCTCCCTCTGGTCCTCAGTGTCCCCCATTTGTAGGATATGGCACTAGATAAATGACTTCTCGTATCTTCCATGATTCTTGCGTAGAAGGTAACCAGACCTACTGAGAACCAGGCCCCGGGGACTTTGATGACGTAGACCCACTTTCCTGATACGTTGTCCCTGAAGCATGAGGGCCAGGGAAGAGGATCCACATTGGGCCCTAGGTCCCTGGTGCAGACGTAGCCTGAGCCTCCCCTGTGGGTCCAGCCCAGCGACTTCTGAGCCAGGACAAAACAAGTGACGTGAGTGTGTCCAGATTCCAGCTGATGGCTGCCTGGTCAGAGTCTTTGGGAGGAAGAATTTTATCAGCTGCTTTTCTCTGTCCCTCAGGTTCTCGCTGTTCTTTATATAAAACATTCATCCATTTTTCTCTTTTAATGAAGGGGTTTTGCCACTCCACATGTGCTACCACTTGAACCCAATTAGAAACATTCCTCAGGGTGATGGACAAGCAGCTTCCGGGCCTAAGAATCCTGACACAAAGCAGGCCTACCCTCACAGGACCTGGCCATGCTTTGTGCATAAAGTGATGGCGCAGTCACGACTTTCCAGAGGAGAGCTTAGACGTCCTGAGACGTGGCTTTCAACTACAGTCTAACACAAGGCTGGCGACTCAGGGCTCATGGACACCCCTCCGAGAAGGACTTCCACCCCAAGGGCTCAAACTCATTGTATTCTCACAGTCACTCTGGGGCTGTGTAGGGTGGAGGTCTCATTCCCAGGCTACAGAGGAGGAAGCAGGTCTGGAGGGGAAATGTTCTGTTCAAGGTGGCAGGGCTGGATCGTCAGCACCACAGGGTGCACTTACGTGGCTCATGGTGGGGACCAGAGAAGTGACTGGCATGCAGAACTCCCTCCTCAGGCCTGCTTTCCCTCCCCCGTCCTCACCTGTGCCCACAGCCAGAGGGCATTTCTCCTGAGCTCAGGGCATCCTCTGTCCAGACCTGGTGTCTGCCCCCTCTAGTTGAGGGACCGCAGCAAAGCCTCCACCCCTTGGGTCTCAGTTTCCTTATTTAACAACCAGGAATGCTGACGCCTACCTTCCGATTCAGATGAGACTTTGAAAGAGATGAAGAAAATACAGTCTCCTGCTAATTGCCACCCAGCAGGATTCTGGATAATTATGAATAAGAGCCACCATTTCTTACATCCCTAGCACATGCCAGACCCTATATTGCACTACCCTCCAATTTTAGGATGCAGAGGGACATAGTGGTAGGAACAGGAGCTTTGGAATTAGACCCTACGATACTTGCTGTCCAACCATAAACTCCTCAGAATCTGGTTTTCTCATTTGTGAAAGAGGGCTAACAGCTCTGACCTCGTAATTAGAGTGGTGAGGGCATTAAATAAGGTAATGTTTGTAAAGTGCTTAGCATTTTCCTGTGGGCACCTTGCAAATACTCCATATACAGTAGCTGCTACACTTAGGGTCACGTAACCCTAAAATGTGAGTGTTACTGCCCCATTTGCAAGATGAGGAAAGTGAGACACAGCCTGTTACGTCCTAGCTGCTGAGCCAAGGTGCAGACCCAGGTCTTCCCCACTCACTGTGCATAGAGGCTTCCTGGACAGGTGTGGATCTTCCAGGCTGAGACTGCCCCCATGATCCCTAAGGCTATACCAGGCATGGGGAAGGGTAGCCTTCCAAAATGCCTGGTGGTATTGTCAAAAATGACAATGTGCCTGCAGGGAACTGTGGTCACAAGCACACAAGGCCCGGGGGGGGGGGGGGGGCGCAGTGGCTCACTTCTGCCTTGCCCCAGATAGCTCTGAGGCCCTGTGTGCCAGGGGGCAGGCAGAGGGTGTCATTTGGTATATCTCAGATCCAGAAGGTGGAGGCCTTGCCCACTCCAGTGATGGGGTGAGTATTGGTAGTGTTCTCTGTCCGTCCTGTAGCCTCAAGAAGCTGGCCAAGAATGTGATGCTGGCCTCTGCTGGGAAATTAAAGCGAATGGCCCTGGTTCCTGAGGGAGCTCTTCCCCTGGGGCTCTGCACCCTGAGCATACCCTACCTGAATGCCCCTCCTTCAGCACAGTCACTGAGCCATTTGTGGGTTAGGATCTGAAACACAGAGACAAACCAGGGCACATTCTGGCCTTTGACAACCCTGCAGTTGTGTGGCAATGACACACAGATGTTATTAAACAATACAGAAGTCCAAGGGCAGGATTGTGAGGACACAGATGAAGGGGATCTCATCTAGCTTGGGAAGTTAGAGAAGTCTGCCCGGAGGAGGCAGCTGAAGAGGGGATTCTCCAAGGGGCCGGCTGGCAGAACGAGAGGTGTGCTCTTGGCAAGGTCGAGGTGTACTCAGGGAACCCCAGGACACCCAGTGTGCAGTGTCTGTACGGGGTGGGAAAGCACGAAGAGTGAGTCTGGAAGGACACCTGAGGCCAGTAAAGGAGGGCTTTGCATTCTAGGTCAAGGGTAAAGGGGAAGAGGTGATGGTATGCTGACACCAGCTCCAGCTGGCCGTGAGAGCTGATGATGGACTTGAGTTCAGTGACCTCCTATTGGTGGCTTGAAATTGCCCGTGGAGGGAGGGAATCTTTACACCATAGAAATTGGCAGTTGCTACAAATCCGAACCCATTGTTAAAAGACAGTGGGAGAGAGTGGGCTGTCTTTGGTGGATTTTAAAGTAAGAGTGGGAGATAATTAACTTTGTTCCTTAGGATGCTCCGGCTCTTGCAGGAGGAAGGGTAGGTGGAAGGCCCTGGTTGACCTCCTGAGAGGGTGCAAAGCTTCCCAGGAAGGGTTTGGGTAGTGGGAGAGGACAGACCCCTGGTGGTAACTTGACTCCTGATGTGTGGGGGCTTATCAAACACCCCTTAAAAGGCTGGGGGTGGGGTGGAGGATTAGGTAATTCTCCCAGCATTCCTCCCCCAGATCCTGAGAATCTGCAATAAAACAAACCCTTAATGAAAAACACCTGGGCTCTGCCCCAGAGCCAGGCCCTGAGATGGGGATGGGAAGGGGATTAGGGGGTTGGAAATCGGGGTGGAGGGAGACCCTGCACTCCATCTGCTCATTTGTTCAGGCATTAACTCTTCTCTCCCCCAGCATCTGCTCCTGGTGAGAAGGAGGAATTGAAGAAAGAGGGAGAGGGAAGATACAGCCAGACAGCCCCGGGATCACCTGCCTCGCAGCGCCTGATGTACACATGCCCATTCTAAGGAAGCTTCCGGTACAGATCACAGTGTGTCAGAGCCACAAGTGGACCAGGTTCCAGGTCTCACAGATGGTCCCCCGTAGTGACATGTGTGTGTGTGTGTGTGTGTGTGTGAGAGAGAGAGAGAGAGAGAGAGAGAGAGAGAGAGAGAGAGAGAGAGAGAGATTGGTGAGAAGGCAGGAAGGATAGAGACTGAGACCTCACTCTCCCATGACATTAGGAGAATCAGGGACTGAGATCCCAAGGGGAGACCTGGCTGAGCCCAGAGCGTGCTGGACTTTGGCCTGTTTCAGCCTGACCTCCAGATCACACTGGCCCATGGAGCTTTAAAGCCTGGAGATTCAGGGTGTCTCTGGCGGGGCTGGGCTCCGGGCCACCTTTCCCCTTCTCTGGAGGAAGTCATCCACAGGGATCTGTGGATCAAAGGTCACTGCCCACTCTGGCTTATCAAGATGCCTCTGTGGGCTCCCATGCACCATGCTGACTGGTCCAGTACTCAGGCTCCTGGCTGGAACTGCCAGTGGTCACCATCCAGGTGGGGTGGTTGGAAAAGGGACGCTCGGGCACGGGGAGGGAATGAGTTTGTGAATTGAGCTCCAGCTGTTATTCTACACCTTCTGAGGCCTTCTGTCCACGCAGTTCTGCCTAGGAATGGAGACCCCCTAGGCAGTCTCAGGACCTGCAGGGGCACCTGAGTATCTATGTGCGTGTTAGAAACAGTGCCTCTCCTGGAAGATCCAGACCTGCAGAGGCATGGTCTTCATTGCAACTAGAAAAGAGGACTCTCCTTCAGGCCAACAGCCCTGATGTGGAAACCGATCTGCACAGACACACTCAGTAACCTGAGCGTGTCCCCCAGTGGCCAGCGGAGAGGGCTCCATTTGCTCCCACGCCTCTCTGCCCTCCCCCCATGCTCTCCATTTCCTATTCCCAGTTATCACCTTAAAAGGCTGTGAGGGGTATAGAAGGTGGGGGGGCGGAGCTGTGACAACTGACATCTTCAAGCTTCAAGGGCTCTGGGAGGCGAAGTCCCCCGCTGTCAGTACTGTGGTGAGCTTCCAGCAGGGGAAGCCCCCCATGCCTTCTGGGCACCATGTGGGGAGGGAGGCCTAGGCATCTGGAGATGAAAGGCACAAGACCAGCTGCAGCCCCAGCCGCCACCCAGCTTCCCTCTGGGGCCATGTGGTTGCAGCCTGCAACCCTCCTGAAGACACATGTATCTGCAGCACATCCATACATCCCCCTGGGCAGAGGAACTGGCCTCCTAGGCAGGTCGAAGTGAGGCATGGCAGCTTGCATTTCAGCCCTTGAGAGGGGAACATTCTTTCCAGTGCTTTGGCCCCTCTTCTGATCATTGACCCTTCAGGGCAAGTCCTTTGGGGAGCGGGGCGGGGGCACAGAGTTGTGAGACAGAAGGCCCAGGCCTCCGCCCAGACCTCAGCTGCTCTCCTTTCCTTCTGAGGCCTTAGGTCTTCTTACTTGTAAAACAATCATCAGGAAGTTGCACAATGTACTATAGGAGTCAGAGGACCTGCCTGACTTCAAAGCTTTATCTCAGCACTGCAGGGTCCCTCCGGGAGCCCGGGAGAGAGATGCTTGCTGGAATGTGCCCCTCAGTGGGATCTTAGGACAATGCTACTCCTCAGGACTCCTCGGAGCACGTGGGCTTCTGCAGGTCATAAAGCTGTGAAGATTCTTGGGTGCACACTCTTGAAATTGAGGTTCAGAGAAGAGGAATGATTTGTCAGTGGTGTTGAGAGGGTTGGTGATGCAAAGCCCAGACTCACTGGGTCTCTCTGCCCCAGATCGGGGAGTTCAGACAGGACGGCCAGCGCGTCCCAGTCCAGTGTTCTTTCTGCTGCACAGGGTGGCTGTCTGGAAACCCATCCAGGCTACACTCCGCTGATGTGGAGGAGCCCACACTGCGACTGGCGGCCTCCCTCCCTGGGGAGAAAAATGTTCTCCTGAAGGAGAAGTAGAACACACATCTTCCCATTCATGACTGTGGCCATCACATGAGGTCACCCCTTTTCTTTGTCCCAAGTTGCTGACTCTGAACAGAAGTTGGTTCCTGAGGGTAAAGGAGCAGCAGCCGGTAACTGGCAGGAAGAAGTCACGGGCACCCCCTTGTTGGATCAGTGGCTAAATCAGCCCCGAGGCTGGCGCCACACTCCAGGAAGCCTGGTGCCTGTGAAGCCCGGTGTGGGGCTGAGTCCTAGACAGGAATTCTGGGGGCTCCTAGCTGGGCCACCTCCCTGAAGCACCAGGTCACAGGGAGTAGGAGCCAGTGTGGAGGGACAGAAGGGACTAAAGAGTCAGTCCGTTGCTGAGATCCTGCTGAGCACCAATGGGATGCCAGGCGCCTGGTTCTCCTGATGGGTGCTCAGCCCTTAGTGATCTCAGGATCCCGCTTCAAAGATGCACTTTAGATCTCGGGGCTGTGGCACCTGTGAGCTGGAGTCCATGGGTACCAGGGAGCAAACTGTCAGGGAGGAGTTCTCGGCTGGTCTAGGAAGATGGGTAGGATGCCCTCTCGGGAAAAAATGGCAGAACAGGAAAAATAGGAAACCAAGGTCAGGAAGGGGTGTGAGTTGGCGGGAAGAGGTGGGGGCTGGGCCTCCCTGGGTGTGGGTGGTGGATGTTGGCTCCCCAGGGACAGCTTTCTCCCAGCAGACGCCATATTGGCTAAAGCAGCCACCCTCGAGGGGCGCCATGGGCCTGAGGGTCTGTGATGACGTGGGCTCCTATGAGTCAGGACAGTGCTGGGAAGCACCATTGGCCCTTGGTTCCCAGCCCGTCTTGCTGCCATCCCTCCCTGCTCAAGGGCAACTCCCTAGAAAGGTTAGTCATTCTGCAGGGTTCCCTAGGTGAGGGAGTTCAGACAGGACAGCTAGTGTGTCCCCCACCCACTCAGTGCCACCTCTTTGGGGAGTCATCTGTCTTGGTCCTTTTTCCTGTTCAGGGAGCCTTCCCTCTTACCTGCCAGCTTACCCCACAGCTCCAGGGATGAACTCCCCTGGCAAAGGGCACCCTCAAGAGCCGGGCTCCTGGCTGAGCCCCAAAGGCAGGCCACGTGGCAATTCCTCTCTCTCTCCCTCTTAGCAGGCGCAGTCCTAGCTTCTGTTTTTCCCAGCTACTTTCTCAGCAGTTGCCCTTTGATTCTAAGACCATCTGCACTCCCAGGGAGGGCTTCCAGGAGGACAGGGCTACGGAGCTGGACCCCGGAATGCTAGGAGAACTTGTCTGTGACTCCAGAAACCTCCAGGAGTCAGGGGACCTGGGAGGAGGCCGTCCTGGGAGTTGTGAATGAAGCAACCCTGGGCCTCTCCTTCCCACCTGGCTCCACTCAGGCCCTCGGAGTCTCTCCAGGCACAGGTGGGAGTAGCGTGAGGATGACAGGGGGAAGGTGAGACTACACTAAGGAGTCCTCACCTGGGAGACAAAGAATTCCTGCTGCCGGGGGGATGGGGGCAGGTGGAGCAAGCTGCCTGGGGACCACCAGAGGGAGAGGCAGGAATGTGTACAGAGAGAAGGCGGAGGACCCCGTCCCCTCAACGCTTCCACCAGCCTGAACGCAGGTGCCTTGCTGGCTCTCACACCTGCCTCCTGGGGTCTCCTGCCAGAGGAGCCCACCTCAGCTGTTCCCTGGAGCCCCTGGTGATTCGGGGACAGTTTCTCCCTGTGCTGGGCTATCAGGGGATTGCTGGGGGGGAATCCACCCCTCGATAGTCAGTGCATACAGTTGGAGCTTTAGCCAAGTGCACTGAGCAGAGACCACTGGACGCCTCAGACTTGTGACAATTACACTACCAGACCCCTCCCCCACTCTTCCAGTGAGACTGATGACTTCCTGGAAAGGGGTTAAATGGAGGGTTTGTGACATGGAACATTTGATGTGACCTGAGAACTTCCTGTTCAAATGACCCTTAGGGCTCTTGACCTCTTCCCTAAAAGTGTTCTGTGCAAGGTCAGAAGGCCTCTAAGTCAGATTCCTCTGAGCAGAGCCGCTGACCTGTGAACCCAGCCCAGGCCCCGGGATCCAGGTCCCCCTACTCTCCTGGGCTCTTATTTATTATCATTATTTATAATAATAATATAAGCAGCCAGAAAAGCTGCTTGGTGGCCTTGTGGAAGTTAACAGGGGAATCCCAACAGGAAGTGGGTCTTCCTGTCAAAGGCTCTGGCACCTCCCCCCCCCAGGGTGCTTAGGGAAAGGAAGACAAGACAGGGCTCTGAGAGCCCAGGGCTCAACCCTGAGGCCTTCAGGGCCCCCATGGGTGAAGCTGCTCTGAGCTTCTGCTCAGGGCTTGGTGGGGACTCAGGAGATTCCTTGAGAAGGGCTGAGCAAAGCCACTTTATAAGGACCTCTTCTATGAAGGGGGCCATGGTGGACAGCATGAGCTCAGTTCAGGCTCTCCTCCCTCCCCCTCCACAACAAGGAGCCTTGGAAAGGCCTTCATCAGGTGGCTGATTCTTAGCCCCAATGTTCTCATTCATTACCTTCTTCTCTGTGGCAGACATCCATGCTTTGTTTTAAAAAAGAGTCTCTACCGAGTTGGGTGCAGTGGCACACACCTGTAATTCCAGTGACTGGGGAGACTGAGGCAGGAGGATCTCAAGTTTGAGGCCAGCCTTGGCAACTTAGCAAGAAGACCATCTTGATATTAAAAATTACTAAAAAGGGCTGGGGATGTAGTGCAGCAGGAGAGTGCTCACCTAGCACGTGCAACTGCAAAGCCCCAGGTTCATTCCCTAGGACAAAAAAGAAAAAAGGGAAAAGAGATGAGGGGAAGGAAAGAAGGAAAAGACAGAAAGAGAGAGAGTCTTTACCTGCTGGTTTCCATGGAGACTTCCCCCCTTCCATTTCTGCACTACCCTGGCTGCTCTGATATAATCTGAGCCCCTGGATGCAGTCCGCAGGGCTCATGTCCTACCTCCATGTTAATGGGGAATTTTGTGGTGGGAAGACCTGCTTCCTGCAAGGAAGAAGGTTTTGACCCAAACACAGATACCTAGCCTCTTTATAGCATCATTAAGTCCCACTTTCTGGGTGGAGAGGAGAGACCCAGATGACGGCTCCACGCTCTGCACAGTGTTTGCAGGGGTCGTTGCTGGGGTGTGCAAAGGTGAGGTCTTGGCCTGACGGCGGAGCCAGGCGACTCTTTGGGAAGAAAGGCCTTCCAGGCACAGGTGGGAGTAGCGTGAGGATGACAGAGGGAAGGTGAGACTACACTAAGGAGTCCTCACCTGGGAGACAAAGAATTTCCGCTGCCGGGGAGGATGGGAGCAGGTGGAGCAAGCTGCCTGGGGACCACCAGAGGGAGAGGCAGGAATGTGTACAGAGAGAAGGCGGAGGACCCCGTCCCCTCAACGCTTCCACCAGCCTGAACGCAGGTGCCTTGCTGGCTCTCACACCTGCCTCCTGGGGTCTGCTGCCAGAGGAGCACCACTGGTCTCCGTATCACCTGGTGAGTCAGGGCACGTCAGGGGACTCGGCCGTGGGTCCTGCTGCAGTTTCGGCCTACTGAGGCTGAAGTCCACCCAGCGGTTCCTGTTAGAGGCATGGCCATCTGACTTGACCAACCAGTCAGTCAGGCCTGGGTCACCCGGGGCATTAGCTGTCTGCCTGCTGGGCTGTCTGGGAAGCAACGTGGCTGAATCAGATCTTGACCAGACAGTAATGAATACCAGCCCTGTAGACTGGGGCTCGAGGGGGTGGGACGGAGGCTTGATGGTGGGCCAAGCTCTCAGGAGAAGGAGATGTGGCAATCTTGTGGGCAAATGGAGAGATGCACTCTGCAAACTCCCACCCCCTCAAAGGCAGCGAATGTGAGATAAGCGAAGGCCACGCCCGGCCCAGCCCTCTGGGGACTAACTGCACAGTGTTCTTGTGGGTGAGAAACAGCCGAGGCTTGAAAGTCCCTCCCAGAAGAGGGTAATGCATGACTGTGGCCAGAATGATAAAGAGGCAAAGCCAGAGTGTGTTTGATTTCCTGGGAGCCGGCAAACTGAACAGTGACTCAATGGAGAAATAGCCTATCAAGTGTTTGTTTTTGGAAGAACAATGTAAGGTAGCCCAGTTACAAAGGAGATTTCGGTCTGGAGGGGCCTGAAGGGTTTGACCCTCCCAGTCTGATATGTGCTCTTGCTCCAGCACCTGGATCCCCTCTGGAGGAAAGCCTAGACCTGACTCCCTGTGTAAACCACTAGGGATTTAAGTTCCAGATAGCTCCTCAATGGAGGTGTGACGTCATGTTCCGCTTCCCTGGATGATGGTGGTCTCTTGGCGGGGCAATGGCTGGCTGCTCTGGATTATTTAATCGATATCGTCTCTGGGATTAGAGTCCTCCCAATTCTGCTTTGGGAGCCCCAAGATACCCCTGCCACTCCTAAATTCATGCATCTGAGAACCTTTTCCTTGCATCTGAAGGGGAAGAGAATGGCTACCAATCTGTTATTCACTGACCCTCTCCAAGGCCACTCTTAACATGGTGGCTCACTGGAAGAACTGGGTGGGTCATGGCTAAATGTCTCCTAAGGAAACTGGGGCTCCAGGAATAATGGGGTGCAGTTCAGCACTTACCTACCTGGATGTCTTGCACACTGTTCCTTCTGTTGCCCCTGTCTGACCAACTCCCATCACACCTCCAGCCTGGCCCTGCCACCTGGCCCTGCCTTCCTCAAACTCCGAAGGTTGTACGTCTTTGGGTGAGTTGTTGAACTTCTCCATGCCTTTATTTTCCCCTCATCTCTAAATTGGCAGTCATGGACCAATCTGCTTTGCAGACGTCCTGTGGAGCCTGCGACAAAATAAGTGAATATATGCAAATGCTTAGAACAAGTCCTGTTCAAAAAGGTGCCTTTCAGGACTCATCCTCACTGCCTCTGAGGTCTGCTCCGGTGTCTGGCTCTCCACCAGGAGACAGGACCAGAGGACAGCCAGCATATCCTATTCTCTGTATCCCAGGACTTAGCCCAGAGAGGTGCTCGGAGAACTGGATTGTGGCCCAGTGGTAGAGTGCTTGTCTAGCATGTGTGAGGTACTGGGTTCGATTCTCAGCACTGCATTGGGGCTGGGGATGTGGCTCAAGCGGTAGCGCGCTCGCCTGGCATGCGAGCGGCCCGGGTTCGATCCTCAGCACCACATACAAACAAAGATGTTGTGTCCGTTGAGAACTAAAAAATAAATATTAAAAAATTCTCTCTCTCTCTCTCTCTCTCTCTCTCTCTCTCTCTCTCTCTCTCTCTCTCCTTAAAAAGAAAAAAAAACCAGAGAGGTGCTCGGTGAGCCCAGGAAGGTACTGTGGGAGGCAGGTATAAGGGTCCAGGGCTGCCTGTGCCTCACAGGTCCTTGGTGGGGAAGACTCCATTGAGCTGGAACACTGAGGTCTCCCTCGTCTGGGCTTTGAGGGAATAAACAGGATATGGAGCCCCAAGTATATGGCCCAGAACTTGGGTACGAGAGGCTGAATGGGTGAATCTAGGACAAAAGTAGGGTATACTTTCTCAGGTAGGAGAGGCCTGCTCCTTTTTAATTGTTGAAAAGTTCTCGCAGAGCCTTGGGGTGACATGTCCCTAGGCTGTGAGGAGGGGCCTGTCAGCCTATTCAGGTCAGGCCTTGGCACCCAGACCCCTGGCCTCTTGGAAGGAGACCAGAAAGGGGATGATCCTTCAGATGGGCTATTAGCCCTCATCAGTCCAGGAGAGATCAGTCTTTATGGACTGTTGAGGAATGGGCCCTCGAGTGAGAGGGACGAAGCCTGTGTGTGGTGCCCCCACCCCTCCACCTTCACAGAAAATTTTATCTTTACAACCCTGGCTCCATGACACCAACTTTTCTGCACGTTTCAGCTTCTGAAATCATGAAGCCAGACCTGAAATGGCACAGAGCTTATTCAGGACAAAGGACTTCAGTGCTCCATTCAACAAACAAGAGGCTGAGCCTCGGAGAGGCAGAGTGGGCAGTGTGCAGACACAGCGATGAGTCTGGGGGCCGCCTTGGTGCAGTCTGAGCTCTAAGTTCATCACCGCTAAGAGGCTTGGCCCCCAACAACTGGGATCTCCCAGGGCATGGCCCTGGGGGGCTGGGGTGTGGGGTACACCCTCCTAGAAGGAAGCTCAGCAAGGCTGGGGAGTTTAGGGGAGTGGGGTGCTATGGGCCTAAAGCACAGGGGAGCCCAAGACAGCTCCTGCCTCCTCCAGTCTAGTCTGGAGGCTGATGCTCTGTGGCTGGGGCAGTAGGAGTGGGCTCAGGTGACCCTGTCTGAGGGACATCTCCAGTGAGCCTGGTCCCACCATAGCACTGAGGCCTTATAAGATGGGGTTGGGGGACAGCGCAGAGGAGTCTATATGGGCTGTCCTTTATTTCCTCCCAGCCCCACTTCCCCTCACTTCTGGGAGCCTGCCTGGCCCTGCCCCACTGGATTGGCCCCGAGCTGGGCAGGCGGGCGCGGCAGCCATTGTGTAAGGCCTGAGCTCACCCACCATGCCCGCCCCGGCCTGCACCAGCCTGCCCGCTGCTGGTTAATCATTGTTCAAACACAGCGTGCGGGCTGTGGAGGAAGATGGGATAGGCAGGGCCGCCTCTCCCAGGTCTCAGCAAACCTCCAACAGCAGGCCTGGGGGTGCTCCATTCCCCAGGAGCCCCCTGGAGAGCATCCTGCTGTGGGCTGAGACCACCTTTCCTAATTTCTTAGAGTGCAGTAAATAATTTTGACTGAATCAAACAATGTCCTTTTGTAGGTTTCTTAGGATGAAGTCAAAGCAGTGGAGCGACGTAGCCAGGAGGGGAGGCACCGATGCCCACGTACTGTGGTTCAAATCACAGCTCTGTCACTAACTAGCTGTGTCACTTTGGCCAAGTTTCGGAATCTCTCTGTGCCTCAGTTTCCTGGTCTACGAAAAAGTGCTATTGCTGCTGCTGCTAATGGTGTCCTCACAGGCTGTCCTTTAGTCATGAGGATTAGGGCTGTACAAAGTACTTACGGTGCCAGTAACCTGAAACTCCAGTGCCTGGAACCAACACTGAAACACGCGTCACTGGGCTCAGTTAATGCCAGAAAGGAACACGAGTGGCCACAGGGTGTGGGCTGGGCTGTTTATAGTGTTAAGCATCTCTACAGGTTCTCTTGTGAGTTAGGTACAACTCTCCCCATTTCCCAGATGAGGAACTCAGGCTCCCCGCCCAAGGTCACATGGTGTCAGTGACAAGGGTGAGTTTCAAGCCCTGTCCCTTTGTGCGTGAATCTCACATTCTCTCTACCACCCAGTCCTGCTGGGTTTGCAGATCAAAGATGCAAATCTGAACTTGCCGGGCAATTAAATTCTGCCTACACTCCCTGACTCCTCTGCAGTGGGAGCAGGGCTGAGGGGATCGTGGGCTGAGTCTGCTGTGAGAAAGCAGAGGGCAGCAAGGCCCCTGGACCACTCTTTGCTGAAGAGGACACAGGAAGAGCTGTGCACCTGCCTGGCAGAAGCCCAGTGTCACTGGGACCCAGGGGCTTGAGGACCTCAAGGCAGGCAGGGCCCTGAGGCAGCATGCTTTGTTCATTTGTTTTTCTCAGCATTTGCTTATTTGACTTGGCTTGGGGGGGGGGCAGCAGAGATTATGGAGGCCTAGAATCTTCTCCCTTGCACCCAATATTCCCCATGATGCTGCTGCTAACTTGGAGGCAGGATGGTGCCAGTGACTCCAGTTAAGAGCCGGAAGTGGGAGCTCGTCTCTCGGGAGGTATTCTGGGCCCTCCAGAGGCTCTGCGGACTACTGCAGAGAATGCCCTTGGGCCTATGTGGGCATTTGTGGGGCCCCATGGGAGTCAGCACTATGGGGTTAGTAGACAAAATACCCAGTCAGATGTGAAGTCTGAGACCTTGGGAGAGAAAGGGCTTTGAGGCCAGGTAATGCAGCACAGGAGACTGTGTGTGCGTGTGTTTGTGTGTGTGTGCACGCATGTAGCATGCGTGCATGTGTGTATATGTGTGCATGTGCCTGTGAACATGCCAGCTAGGGTAGCGACACTTCTCAGAGCAAGGAAGTTAGTGAAACTCATCTCATGACAGCTCCATAAGCCTCTGGCTCTTCACGCCTTCCATGGCCTGCCCATGCCCACACTGCTGGGCTCAATCCCTAACCCAAATGGGCTCTCAGGATGTGCTGTGAGAAGCTTGCTCCCCTAAGCTGTTGGAGCCTGAAAACAAAGTCTCCTGTGAACCTTCGTGGCCACACCCTCTGTTCACTGACTGTCCTCCTGTCCCTAATTGCATGGCCTCTGAACAGAGAGTGCAGGAAAGGGGCACAGCGTGGACAGTGGACACGCCTGCTTTCTAGGACATGAGGCACCTGTTCCTGGCTGACTGCATCTGGAGACGGAAGAGAGGCCTGGCTGTGGAATAAGGGAAGCTGAGTGCCAATCTTGACCATCTTGATGAATTCTAGCCCCTGAGGCCAGACCAAGGCCACAGAATGCTCCTACATGCTTGAGGATATACCTTGGAGACTTTGGGTGCAAAGAGATACTTCCTGGACATGACTGAAGATACACTGTATCAGAACCCACAGGGCAGGAAGAGGTGTGCGTGTGTGATACATGGTGTTGGTGTCAGCAAGGCATGTGGAAAGTACTAGAAAAATCCTGAAGAAAGTTAAGAAATAGGTTTAATCTCCTTTGTAATCTACTCTCCATGCACATCACCGACATTATCTTCCAGATCTCAGCCAATTCGGCTGTTCAATGACACATGGTAGTGGGGCCCGGGAGGTATGTGGCATGCCTGGAAGATATAAGAAAGAT